GTCATTCTTCTCATTTATTGCACAGTTGTTTATTCTCTTAGTCTTTAAGTTAGATACATGTTAAGAATTGTAGATCAATAGTCATCTATGTCTGTCATATTTATGGTTAGACTAATCAGGTTCTTTAGATACATAGAGATTATATATAAATAGTCTTCAACCTCTTCGAAGAGTTGTAGAAAATGGCATTTAATTTAATCTTAGAGTTCTGTGTAGTGAGACACAATCACTCCTGGCAATATCGACCTATTCCCGAGAGATTGTTGAGCACCAAAGACACTCCACTTGGAGCTTGTCTTCTTGACAAAACTGGCCTCTGGGCAAGGAACTGCCCATACCTCAACTACTGACAAATACACAGTATCCGGAAATGGATAAACAGAACTGTCAAATCTTGCCAAGACAGGGTAAGATGGTTTTGAAAAATCTCTTGCCTGTTAAAATCCGGAAATGGATAAAATCCGGAAATGGATAAACAGAACTGTTAAATCTTGCCAAGACAGGGTAAGATGGTTTTGAAAAATCTCTTGCCTGTTAAAAATAATCTGTCAGTTATTCTAGGCCTTAGTCAAAGTTGGTTGCTTCAATGCTGCAAACAGGTCTTTGGTGATTGCCCAGGTAGCCAGTTGTCTCTGTGATTTGTTGCATGTTTTGGAAGTTCTTTGATTGCACTTCCTAATTACTCAGGTAACATTATTTCCCTTCTCGGATCTTCAATGGGGTTGAAGACTAGATAAATGTAGCTACTTTCCTCTCATGACTTGGCCAAGTTATTTATTATACAAGACTTTAGCTAGTTAGAATAGGATATTTGTACTTATTGTATATAATTTTGTAGGTTTGTACATACTGTATATAATTTTGTAGTAGGCTTAGAACTCTCTTACTTAAACAAAAGGGGGAGGTGCTGCGGGAGCGCCTTCTGCTCCGTCAGCCAATAGCCGCTGAAATACCAGCCCACTGGGGCGTGGTATATTTCTCTTTAAAAAAGAGCGCAAGCTCGGCTCTGCCTCTTGGTCCCATCTCCTGCTCCCGGCTCCTGCTCCAGCGACTAGGCTCCCTTCCTGACGGTTTATGGTGTATGTAAGTTTTACCCCCCCAAAATAAATACCCCTTTAAAACATAACTGGTGTGGGATTGATTCCAAGATAGGTATTTTGAAAATACCTTGGCTTCAAAACTGAAGTCAAAAGGTATGTTACTTTGGAGAAGAGATTTTGCTTTTGTTTCCACAGAAAATGAGAGGCTGTGGATTCATTCTGAGTTAAGAAAAATCAGGTTCCATAAAGGAAGACCACCTGAGAAATCTCCGATAGGAACAGATGGCCCAGATGACAGAGTTCTTCATTCAGAACAGGTTCAAGACTGCTGCCTGAGATGATCAAGACTCACAGTCTTGAGGATACTCCAGTCAGGACTTGATTATAACTCTAAATTTTCTTTAGGTCCCCATAAGATCATCAGCGCCCCCAACCAGCAGGAAGTAGCCTGAAATACTACACCCACATTCCCAACAAATGGACTATGGGTATTTTCCTTTGTTTAAAAAAAAAGAGGGAAATGGTGTGGGAAAATTATCTGTATTCTGTCAATCATGTATTTTAATAAAACGCTGATTGGCCAGGCAGGAAGTATAGGCGGGAAAACCAGACAGGAAGTAGAGGTGATGCAATGAGAACAGGAGAATTCTGGGAAGCAGGAAGCTTCCTCTGCGACTCCTGCGCAGACCACCGAAGAGACCGGATGTAAACTGCCCAGCTGAGAAAGGTACTGAGCCGTGTGGCTAATGTAGATAAGAATAATGGGTTAAGATAAGTCATAAGAACTAATAAGTAGCCTGATCTAATGGACCAATCAGTTTATAATCTTATGGAGATCTCTGTGTGATTGATTTTCTTTGGGACTTGCCAGTTGTGGGGTGCCAGGTGGGACAGATATCCCAACAAGCCGGCTGTCATGTTACAAATATCAATAAAAAATGTAAAAAAGTAAAGTAAAATAAAGAAAAAAAAAGAAAAAATGAAATGAAAAAACAAAAAGCCTCTGAACAATGCCGCAGAGAAAGCTGTGCTGTGGACTCCAGCCCAACCATCAGCATCAGTATTCAGGAATTAGAATGCACACACCTTCCAAGCTGTAAATTCTGAACTCCAACAAAAAAGACCATTAACTTAACAAAGCAGGCTCATGTTGATATGTGGACAGAAAACTTGGAGACTCTGCAGGGACTTCAAATAAGGCAACTTAGAAAAGAAAAATGTTGCAGGCAGTGGTGGTGCATGGCCGCATCCCAGCACTTGGGAGGCAGAGGCAGGCGGATCTCTGAGTTCGAAGGCAGCCTGGTCTACAGAGCTGGTTCCAGGACAAGCTCCAAAGCTACAGAGAAACCCTGTCTAGAAAAAACAAAACAAAAAGAAAAGAAAAGAAAAGAAACAGAAATGAAAAGAAAAATGTTACCAAAATCTGGAGGGAACACAGCACAGTTCTGGAAACATAAACAGGTGGTAGTCTCTCACACACACATACACGCACATACGTGCGCACACACACATGCACATACACACACATGCACACCCCCCCACACACATGTACACATACACTCACACACACATACATACCCATGCACATACACACGCACGCACGGAAGGAAGCCAGGCAATGAGATGAATAAGTAGGCAATACACGGTATGAATCCTAAATAAAATGTTAAGAATAGACTGACTTCACCAAAGCATTAACAATACGGTGGCAAGCCTAATGCCGAGGAAATAAAAAAGGAAACAATAACGGGTATGCTGGAGATGTTTGCAGTTTGAGGCTTGTCATCAAGTCTGAGATCTATTAATACCTGCTTTTATTATATTATAAGATGTGCAAATCAAAGTTTATTTACTTTTTTTAATTTTTGAAATAAGTCTCACTATGTAGCCTAGATTGGTCACGAATTCACAATCCTCCTGCCTCAGACTCTGGAGTACTGGGAGTCTAGACTATCAATCAACTCCAAGTGAATTACAAAGTTGTTAACTTTGTATAAAATCAGGTGTCTACACATTTGGGGGGCTGGTGTGGGAGGTCCTTCTGTATATGTGTTACTTTTATTGGTTAAGGAATAAAGAAGCTGGTTTAGCCTCTGATAGGGCAGAATAGAGTTAGGTGGGGTTGGGGGACGGGGAGGGACAGCTAAACTGAATGTTGGGAGAAAGAAGGTGGAGTCAGGAGGAGCCAGGTAGCCCTGCTGGAGACAGATGCCGGATGGAACCTTGACCGTAAGGCACAACCACGTGACAATACACAGATTAACAGAAATGGGTTAATTTAAGATGTAAGAACTAGCCAATAAGAAACTAGAGCTAATAGGCCAAGCAGTATTGCAAATAATATAGTTTTTGTATGGTTATTTTGTGTCTGGGTAGCCAGGAACGAACAAGTGGCCTCCCCCAACAGGGGCTATTTCTGGGCTCTGTTCTATTGATCATTTGCATAAACTTACATAAATTTATTTTAAAAAGATTAATTTGAGGCAAGCAGATCTCTGTGAGTTCAAAGCCTGGTTTATATAGCTACTTCCAGACCAGCCAGGGCTCCATAGACCTTGTCTGAAGAAGCAGAAGCAGAAGAGTGGTAAACAGAGGCACAGGCTGCCATGCCTGGCCCTTACTGCTCTCAATTCCTGTGGCCTTATAGTAAATTTGGAAATCATGTAATGTTAGACCTAAAATTTTGTTCCCCATAGTTCCTTGAGATATTCTAGGTCCTTTGATTTTTCCATAGGGGAAAAAGATTTATTTTATGTGTGTGAATGTTTTGCTCAAATGTATGTCTGTGTACCACGTGTGTGCCTGGTGCCAACGATCCCATGGAATTGGAGTTGCAGATGGTTGTGAGCCATCTTGTAGACCCAAACCATCTCTCTAGTCCCTTGACAGTCTTTTTATTTGAATGATGAAATCCACTACTTTGTATGTTAACTTAAAAACTTAATTAAAAAGAAGGAACATTGGGGGAGGTCCTGGGAAGAGTTGGGGAGGAAAAATATGGTCAAAATATGAAATTCTCAAAGAATGAATAAAGGCATTTTTTAAAGGAAAGAAAAGAAATTTTTAAAAAAAGTCAGCATCAAGTCCGATAAGAACAACCAAGAGCTTGCTACACACCAGGCCTTGTCCTAAGTGCCTTGCCTATGTTAACTAATTTAATTATTATTGTACAAGGGCTCTCTTGGTCTTAGTTGCTGTGTTTGTTTTGGTTTGGGTTTTGAGACAGGGATTCTCTGTGTAGCTGGTCGCCCTGAAACTCACTATATAGATGGGTGGCCCTGCCTTTAATCCCAACACTCGGGAGGCGGAGGCCGGCAGATCTGTGAGTTCGAGGCCAGCCTGATCTACAAGAGCTAGTTTCAGGACAGGTTCCAAAGCCACAGAGAAACCCTGTCTCGAAAAACCAAAAAAAAAGAAAAAAAGAAAAAGAAAAGAAAAAAAAGTGCTCCTTACTTAATTTTCAGGAGTTATTGGCTTCACACGGGGGTTGACATCTGTACTCTTTCCTTTGTTCTCACCATCTTTGTGGCAGATGCACCATGAATGGTCTGTCTGTCTGTTCTGTTCTGTTCTGTTCTGTTCTGAGAAAAGCCCAGGCTGGCCCTGAGCTGGTTGTGTAGGTGAGGTTGACCTTGAACTCCTAGTTCTTGACCTTGAACTTCTTCTGCTACCTCCCCATTCAGAAAATTTTTGTTTTGTTTTTCGAACAGGGTTTCTCTGTGTAACAATCCTAACTTTCCTGGAACTAGCTATGGCAGACCAGGCTGGCCTCGAACTCACAGAGATCTGCCTGCCTCTGCCTCCCAAGGTCGAGATTAAAGCCAACAGTTCTGGCAGATAGTTCCAGAAGCTCCAGCAAGCATGCCTGAGCTTCACAGGGTGTGTGTGGGATCATCCTCGGGGCAGCACCACACAGGGTAAAACTCTCTTGGCTTTCTAAGGACTCGTGAGTCAATACGCTCATTCCACTGATTTCCAGCCCCAAACCTTCCTTAAGGCTTCCTTAACATCCTTGTTTCTCAAAGAGTAGATTAAGGGATTCAGCATCGGGATCACCACTGTGTAGATTACAGCCACCGTGCGGTCCTGGGTCAGGGAGTAACTGGACTTAGGGCGCAGGTACATAAAAAGTGTCGTGCCAAAAAAGAAGCAAACGGCAGTGAGGTGGGACGTGCAGGTGGAAAACGCCTTGGACCTGCCCTGACTCGAGCTCATCTGTAGGATGGTGATGAGGATTAAGAGGTAGGAGATCAAGATGGTGAGAGTGCAGCTCAGAAGATTGAAGCCCGCGAAAATGAAGAGCAAGATCTCACACAGCGAAGTGTCCACGCAGGACAAGGACAGGATGGGTGGCCCATCGCAGAAGAAATGAGTGACCACGTGAGCACCGCAGAAGTTCAGGCTGAAGATACAGCTTGTATGGATAAGAGAATTGAGAAACCCTGCGCTGTAGGAGCCCACAATTAGAGCTGCACAGACATTCGGAGACACGATGGTTGGGTAGAGCAGAGGATTACAAACCGCGACGTAGCGGTCATAGGCCATGGCGGCAATGAGATAGCACTCGCTGGTGGCGAAACCCGCATAGAAGAACATCTGCGCCATGCAGCCAAAATAAGAGATGACCTTTCTCTCAGCCAAGAAGTTCATCAGGGTCTGGGGGACCACTGTAGAAGAGTAGCAGAAATCCAGGAAGGAGAGGCTTTTGAGCAGTGAGTACATGGGCGTGTGCAGAGCGACGCTCACATGGATTAGAAAGAACATGGTCAGGTTGCCCAGCACCGTGATGACGTACATGGCCAGGAATACCACAAAGAGCAGTTTTTGGAGCTGGGGGTCACTGGTGAGGCCCAAGAGCTCAAACTCCACGTCTTGGCTCAGGTTTGCCCTCTCCATATTTGTTTAGGACTCTGGTGCAGACAGACTGCAGCAGAGAGGCGGAACACCCAGGGCTCTCACAGTTTGCTCCTGGAGATCAGGACCTTTGGAAGAGATCTGGCTTTGTAGACAGGACTGCCATGGAGAGGACCTTCCCAAGTTGTTCGGCTGGTCGATTAGTAAGCGTTATTTGAGAAGCAATTGGAAATATAATGACTATATGAAATTAATCTTTCTGAGATCATAACAAATTTAAATAATGAGACATTCACTCTTTGACTCCACATTTAGTTTCCTGTCTACATAACTGCGTTCCCTCCTAAGAAAGTCTAGAGTCCCTGATGGCAGGGAGCTCATAAGCTACGAGCAACACATTCTGTGTAAGCACAAAGTGAGCAGGGGCTTCGTGACTGGCTGTGTCCCCTGTGGAATGACTTACTGTCTCTGCATTTCAGTTTTCTCATCTGTGGAGTAAGAACAGCAGTTATCTCAAAATATTGTAAAGACTGAGTGAGCAAAAGGAAAATCACTTGAACACAGACCAGCACACTGAGGGAATTCAAGGGATGCTTGCAGCGGCTGTTCTCACAGGAGAGACAGACTCACCGCTATGGATGCAGCAGAGTTTGGTTCTAGTTACCATGGCTCCCTAACGATGGTGGTGACAGAGGCTGTGGAGAGATGAAGGCAGTGTAATGAGCAAACTGACATTGTGGATTAGGGGTCATCCAACAAGCGAAAACTCCCAGCCCTGTTTACAAAAGTACCCATCATTTCTTGTAAACAAATCACCCTGAATTCGGGGGCTATTGGCAGACAAGGATCAGCCCCCACCCCCCAAGGCTGAAGTCTGTGAAAGTATCTTCCCTACTTAGAGGGTGCATCCTGGAAACATCGCTGCTCCCGCTCCCGTGGCTCCTCTGGTGTCACATTCCAGAACCGCGGCTACTTTATAGTGAACTGCAGTCCTGCAGAATGTGGGCTTCTAGAGCTGCTCATGGTGTCAACGCCAGCGGGGCCAAAGTCAACTTAACTCAAAGGCAAATTATAGGACTTCAGAGAAACAACCGTGAACCTCCGCGGTGGAAATAATTTACGAGAACTCCAAGAAAGTCAGGAGCTGATCATAAGAGTAGAGTAGAACTTCTCTTGAAATCCAGTTTAGCATCTTCTTCCCTCAGAAACCTGTTTTAGTTTAGGTAGCAAACATGTCAGTATTTCTCTGATCAGAAAACTAGAACCAGAAAAACAACACCACAAAACTAGGGCTGTACCCAGTGACTGGGCCTCCAGTGGGGAGGCCGGCTCTCCCTCTTCCCTTTCACTGCTTATCACTCTTCTCCAATCTGCAATAAATTAAAAATCCTCCAGAATACAAGGAATTGGTTAAAAATGGATTATAAAAGAAGTTGGTATTTGGTATGCTTTGAAATAACCATTCTGTGGATGGCAGTTTGTACCTCAGAGGAAGAAAACTTGAAGTAATAGTTTTTAAAAGATGGAGGAGGGGCTGGAGAGATGGCTGAGTAGTCAAGGGCACTAACTGTTCTTTCAGAGAACCCAGGCGTCATTCCCAGAACATATGTGGTGGTTCACAACCACCTGTAACTAGTTTCGGGAGATACAATACCCTTTTCTGGCTTCCGTGGGCACAAAAGTGGTACATAGAAATACACACATACACATAAAATAAAAATATAAAAATAAAAGATTAGGAGTAGAGCACCTAGTAGGTGGAGGAGTTGAAAGAACCAGGTGGAGGAGTTGAAAGAAACCTTATTATACTCGATTCCTCCACTCCCCCGCCCCCGCTGGGAAATATGAAATTCACCAGGCAGCAACACAGCCAGCGACTCTAAGCAATAGTGGTTCTCAGTTTCTAAGCAGTGTTTCACCCAGGGCCTTACTATGTGTGCAGATTCCAGGTTTCAACAGCAGTAATCTAATCCAATAGATCTACAGATGAGCCAAGAACTCCAATGGATTCACAACAGGTGGCCTCTGAACCATAGGGTGTGTCCACGAGGACACCTTCTTGAGCCACATATCCTTCCTAGTTTGCTATAATTCTGTGTCCTGGATATCAGCAGGGTGGTTGTCCTGGATGGTCTTCTCCCTCCAGAAGCTTTGCCAGTAGGTATCGATTCGCAGACATCTGGGCTACCTGGGGGTCATCAAACGCCAGCTGAGATGTTCTGGAAGCCGGTGACTTTGGTACTGGTCTTGCTTTGCAGCTCTGAGTACAAGCCTTCAGTGAGAGAACTGTGAAGACAAAGGCAGGTGTGTCTGTTGACTAAATCTGGGGATCTCACGGGGTCAGGAGTGAGGCAGCCCCTTCTCTGTGAACCTGTCACCGCCAGTCTTGTGTGGGCAGGAGACTCTCCAGGGCCATCTTTCCCTTTGGGCAGCTCACAACTAGGGAGAAAGTGTTCATGGTGGGATTTTAGGAGGCAAGTGAGAAAGGGAGAATAATTGGTCCCACAAAGACCCATTAAAGTGTTTGTGACGTTGTTATCTCCACGAGTCTCTGCCCCTGTCAGGAGACAGAGAAATTGGGGATAGGGAAATGAACCCCACCAGATCCCTAACAACTTACGGATCATTACCCCACAGAAACGCTTTACCTTAACTGTAAACTTAGCTGTGTTTACTCTGCAACAGCAAAATAGGCTCTCCTCATATGCCAGTTAGCCAGCATGCGTTGTACTTTAAATTAGATAAGAACAAAACATCTGTCCTGATGTAGGAGGGTCTTCTATCTATCTGTTGCTTTCATTGGTTAATTAATAAAGAAAACTACTTGGCCTGATAGGTCAGAACATAGGTAGGCGGGGAAGACAGAACAGAATGCTAGGGGAAAAAAGCAGAGGCAGGCAGACGCCATGAAGCTCCATCCCAAGATGGATGTAGGTTAGAATCTTCCTGGTAAGTCACCACCTTGTGGTGCTACACACATTAATAGAAATGGGTTAATCAAGATGTGAGAATTAGCCAGTAAGAGGCTAGAGCTAACGGGCTAGGCAGTGTTTAAATGAATACAATTTGTGTGTTGTTATTTCGGGTGTAAAGCTAGCCATGCCGGAGCGGTAGCCGGGCAGGACAAAAAGCAGGCCTGCTTGCCTCTTCACTACACTGTCCTTCAAGGCTGTGCTAACAGGACAAACTAGAGTTAGGTTACCCAGTTTCCAAATAAATACTTAAAAATTTTCTAGGAGCCTTTGGTCATTGGTCTCTAATGTAAAAGCATCCATTCAGGGGAATTTTGCATGGCATGAATATTCCTGAATTCATTGAGTAAAATACAGCCCTATGTTGGTGACTGTCCCATGTCCTTCTTAAAAGCATGTAGTCTCCTTTGTTGTGGTGGTGCTCTACAAATATCAACTAGATCAAGTTGGTTGGTAGCATTGTTGAAGCAAAATATAGCCATTCAGTTCTCACACCCCCTTCTTCTCTTGGTCATTGAAAGTTAGTATATTGAAATTTCTATAATAGTGGATGTTTTCTTTGACACAGAACCTCACTGTGTAGCCCTGGTTGACCCAAAACATATTATGTAGACCAGTCTGGTCTCAAACTCATAGATAACAGCTTGAGCTGGTCAATGGTGGCACATGCCTTTAATCCCAGCATTCAGGGAGGCAGAGGCAAGTGGATCTCTGTGAGTTCAAAGCCAGCCTAGTCTACAGAGTTCCAGGACAGCCAGAGATAAACAGAGAAACTGCCTCATAAAACAGAGAGAGAAAGAGAGAGGGAGAAAGAGAGGGATATAAAGAGAGAGAGAGAGAGAGAGAGAGAGAGAGAGAGAGAGAGAGAGGACAGCTTGATTTTATCTCCTAAATGTTAGGGTTAAAGGCATATGACACCATTGTGACAATCATGTATTTATTTCAGTTTTTGTCTACTGTCTTCTGAAGTCTCATTACAAAGTTCCTATTTAAGATTGGTCTTCCTTCTTGATAGACTAAGAACTCTAGACCAAAAAGTGTCTGCTGGGGCTACAGAGATATCTCAGAGGTTAGAAACACATGCTTCTCTTGCAGAAGACCCAAGTAACTCCAGCTCCAGGGGACCTAATGCCTCTGGCCTCCAAGGATGCCCACACTCATATTCACAGACATATAAATAATTAAAATAAAATATATCTTTTAAAAAACGTGATTGCTGGTTTTTTGTTTGGTTGGTTTTGTTTGTTTTTTCAAGATAGGGTTTCTCCGTGTAGCCCTAGCTATCCTAGAACCCATTTTGTAGACCAGGCTGACCTCGAACTCAGAGATCCACCTGCCTCTGAGTCTCAAGTGCTGAATTAGAGGTGTGCACCACCACTGTCCATCAAATAGGTGCCATCATAAATTATGTTCTCTTCCATGCCCTGGCACATAACAATGCATTTGTATCCTTTGCTGAAAGCAGTAAATACAGAACTTGAAAGCAACTTTCTAAGTCTTCCATAAGGGTTAAAGGCATCCTTATATTGCTTGGGAAACAAATGTTTGTTATCTGGTCATTTGGGGTCAATTGGAGCCAGACTCAATCCCTTGTAAAACCATGTTATAGATTTCTGTAAAGCATCTCATTCCTTCCCCCATGTTATGTTATCTGTGCTATTTAATAAATATAGAACAAAGCCTTTTATGAGGGACAGGCAGTCACAACACTCACAGACATACACAGCTCATACAGAAACACACAATCACACAGTTATGCAACGGACAGGACAGAAGACACAGGGACCATGAAGTACAGAATTTAAATCTATACTCACTCTAAATTAAACAACTCTGGGGGAAATATTTTGATTTCTTAATGTGTCATTGATGCATTGCTGGTGACACAGGTGTGAATGATCCACGCAGGTTCTTACTATGCGTATAGTTTTTTATTTCCTGCTCGTACATCCGTGTACCACATGTGTGCCTGGTGCCTGAGGAGGCCAGAAGAAGGCATCAGGTTCCCTGGAGCTGAAATTACAGTTAGTTGTGAACAACCAAGTGAGTGCTGGGAATTGAACTGGGTTTTCTAGACAGGCAATTAGTGATCTTAACT